AACCCCCCCCCCAACTCCCCAACTGCCCTCCCCAAATTCCCAAATTCCCGCCCCGAATTCCCAAATTCCCTCCCCAAATTCCCGAATTCCCGCCCCGGATTCCCTCCCCAAATTTCCTCCCCAAATTCCCTCCCCAAATCCCCAAATTCCCGCCCCAAATTCCCACCCCAAATTCCCTCCCCAAATTCCCAAATTTCCTCTCCAGATTCCCTCCCCAAATCCCCAAATTCCCAAATTCCCTCCCCAAATTCCCAAATTCCCTCCCCAAATTCCCTCCCCAAATTCCCTCCCCAAATTCCTGCCCCAAATCCCCAAATTCTCACCCCAAATTCCCAAATTCCTGCCCCGAATCCCCGAATTCTCACCCCAAATTCCTTCCCCAAATTCCCACCGTATTCCCGAATTCCCACCACATTCCCGAATTCCCCAAGGGCATTCCCGAATTCCCACTGCATTCCCAGGGCATTCCCAAATTCCCCATGAGAACCCCGGCATTCCCACATTCCATGGGCATTCCCACATTCCCAGGGCATTCCCAAATTCCCCATGGCTATTCCTGAATTCCCAAATTCCCACGGCATTCCCAAATTCCTCAAGGGCACCCCCAGCATTCCCAAATTCCCACTGACTCTCCTTCTCCCGCCCCAAATTCCCATTTCCCCCCGTTTTCCCCCCAAATTCCCATTTTTTTTCCTGTTTTCCCCCCAAAATTCCATTTTTCCTCCATTTTCCCCCCAAATTCCCATTTTTTTTCCTGTTTTCCCCCCAAAATTCCATTTTTCCTCCATTTTCCCCCCAAATTCCCTTTTTTTCCTCCATTTTCCCCCCAAATTCCCATTTTTTTTCCTGTTTTCCCCCCAAAATTCCATTTTTCCTCCATTTTCCCCCCAAATTCCCTTTTTTTCCTCCATTTTCCCCCCAAATTCCCATTTTTTTTCCTGTTTTCCCCCCAAAATTCCATTTTTCCTCCATTTTCCCCCCAAATTCCCTTTTTTTTCCTCCATTTTCCTTCCAAATTCCCATTTTTCCTCCATTTTCCCCCCAAATTCCCATTTTTTCCCTGTTTCCCCCCAAATCCCCATTTTTTTTCCTATTTTCTCACCCAAATTCTCATTTTTCCCCATTTTTCCCACCGTTCTTCCCTGATTTTCCCTGCTTTTTCCCCATTTTTTCCCCATTTTTTCCCCATTTTTTCCCCATTTTTTCCCCATTTTCCCCCCATTTTTCCCCGTTTCCCATTCCCGGTGTTTGTTTTTCCCGGTGTTTTTCCCTGTCATTCCCGATGTTGTTCCCGCTGTTGTTCCCGTTGTCGTTCATGGTGTTTCTCATTCCCATTCCCGCTGTTGTTCCCACTGTCGTTCCCGGTGTCATTCCCGGTGTTTGTTGTTCCCGGTGTTTTTCCCATTCCCGGTGTTTGTTTTTCCCTGTGCTCCCAGTGTGTGTTTTTCCCATTCCCGGTGTTGTTCCCGGTGTTCTTCCCGGTGTTTTTCCCTGTCATTCCTGGTGTTGTTCCCATTCCCGGTGTCTGTTGTTCCCAGTGTCTGTCGTTCTCGGTGTTTTTCCCTGTCATTCCCGGTGTTGTTCCCATTCCCGGTGCTGTTCCCGCTGTCAGTTGTTCCCGGTGTCTCATTCCCGGTGTTTCTCATTCCCATTCCCGGTGTTGTCACAGCCTCACTGACGCTGGTGGACCTGGCGGGCTCGGCTGTTCCCGGTGTTTTTCCTCATTCCCGGTGTTTTCCCTCATTCCCGGTGTTTTTCCCTCATTCCCGGTGTTGTCACAGCCTCGCTGACGCTGGTGGACCTGGCGGGCTCGGCTGTTCCCGGTGTTTTTCCTCATTCCCGGTGTTTTTCCTCATTCCCGGTGTTTTTCCCTCATTCCCGGTGTTGTCACAGCCTCGCTGACGCTGGTGGACCTGGCGGGCTCGGCTGTTCCCGGTGTTTTTCCTCATTCCCGGTGTTTTTCCCTCATTCCCGGTGTTGTGGCAGCCTCGCTGACGCTGGTGGACCTGGCGGGCTCGGCTGTTCCCGGTGTTTTTCCCTCATTCCCGGTGTTTTTCCTCATTCCCGGTGTTTTTCCTCATTCCCGGTGTTTTTCCCTCATTCCCGGTGTTGTCGCAGCCTCGCTGACGCTGGTGGACCTGGCGGGCTCGGCTGTTCCCGGTGCCTCATTCCCGGTGTTTCTCCCATTCCCGGTGCCTCATTCCCGGTGTTTCTCCCATTCCCGGTGTCTCATTCCCGTTCCCTGTGTCTCATTCCCGGTGTTTCTCATTCCCATTCCCGGGGTTGTCGCAGCCTCGCTGACGCTGGTGGACCTGGCGGGCTCGGCTGTTCCTGGTGTTTCTCCTCATTCCCAGTGTTTTTCCCTCATTCCCGGTGTTTTCCCTCATTCCCGGTGTTTTTCCCTCATTCCCGGTGTTTTCGCTGATTCCCGGTGTTTTTCCCTCATTCCCGGTGTTTTTCCTCATTCCCGGTGTTTTTCCCTCATTCCCGGTGTTGTGGCAGCCTCGCTGACGCTGGTGGACCTGGCGGGCTCGGAGCGCCTGGAGAAGTCGGGATCGGTCGGGAATCGGCTGCGGGAGACGCAGAGCATCAACTCCAGCCTCAGCGCCCTGGGG